CTGCTTTTTATGGTGAGTGGGAGGAAATGGAGCCAAAAGAGGAAGTCATGATGAGCCTTGCACAAAAGCCTTGTGACATGATTATGAAAATTACAATACCCCATTAATATTATCCCCCACCTCAAAGTCAACTGCACTTAAATTCCTTAACATCAAAAGCTTTTGTATCTCCTTTTATGTGTCACAAGAACAAGCATTAAGTGTGGAAATGTGACAGACAAATACAACGTAGCTTGTGGGTTTTGTTCACCTTTTAGAATTCACTTCCCTTTCGATCTATCTAACTATTCAATCAATTCATGCCTTTAATTTGTGGGTCACTTTCAGATGTTAGGTATCACTCCATTTATAGTTTCCTTATAGCAGTTTATAAGTTCAATTTGCCCAAAAATTTCGAGAAGAGCTTACGTGTAACGGGACAAAATCATTTTGAAAGCATCTGTTAGGTTAAAAAAGTTAAAACAGAGGGGTTTAGAAAGAAATGCTAGCTGTGAACTTCAGTGTTATTGATCTCTGTGAAAATAGAAGTTACAGGTTTTCTTGTTCTGTCAGAATAACTTTATTTTTTTTAAATTTTGCTGGAGCCTGTAGGATTGACACACCTACTGGAATGTGCTTAAACTTAAAAATTCACATCTTTCATGAGCATGAGCCCTCTGGGGGTGGCACAAAAGTTCACATCTGGTACAATGACCCAGTACTTAAGATAAGATTAATCATAATTTAATTAGTTGAGTTGGCTCCTGACACCTGTTTTGCTGTATAAAATAAAATCACTTCCATAAGGGTTTCATGTTGATAATGCTGGCCCTTGCAAAGCAATTTTTTTAAAGTTGTAAAAATGATGAAGATTCCAATCCCATGTTGGCTTGCACAACTTGAGCTTGTCGGCTAACATCATAACAAAGGCCTACTTCCCAAACACAACAGCTTTCCTGGAAAAAAAAAAAATAAACCCCAGATGCTCAATTTCCCAAGAAACAGAAAATTAGACGTCCTTTGGCCTTGCCTTTCTCCTTATTATAATTTATTTTGTATTTTCTTATCATGCATACAATGGCATCCATTTTATTGTCCCAGTTAAGAATAGAACACTTGAATGTTTTCACTGCTCCAATCAAATTTTCACTGTTTCTAATTTTGTCAAATTTCTTTTACAGCTTAGCTTTGATTGCTTTTCTATCCAACAGTGGTTTCTCCTCTTGTTTTTTTGGCCATGGAATTCTTATAACGCGTCGGAAATGTCACCATTTTGCTTGCAGAAATTCTGTGATGCATATGAATGGTGGTCATCAAATCATTATATCCCAGAACTTTCTCAAGAGTTGACTTTCTGAGTTTTGACAGCTTCATATTGAAGAAAACTATAGTCCCATTACTAGGCTTAGTGCCTTCCCAGCACAATTTCTGCTAATTTGTAATTATTATTCACTGTGCCTTCACCATGAAATCTATGTGGTTGGCAAGAGCAAGATGACTCTTGCTTTGCTGTTACCACCTTTCATACAAGCTTTATAATTATACCAGCAGCTCAACATATGTCAAAGCTGCTAAATCACACAACTCTCTTACCTCTATACTCAGGGGGTTAAAATTTGAGTTGTTAGGTGCAAGGGGCTGAACCCTTTGTGTTCTATTCTCCCCTCCCCCAATATCGTTTGCATCGAAGAAAACAAAACAAAACAAATCAAGGATGTTTCGTTGGATAACCTCATAATTGATTTACCTTTCATGTCGGTTGGCATCTTAGCAATGAGCTAATTGGTGTTTTGCAGCAAGTCATATCTTTGTTTCATTAATGGCAGACATAATGTAATTGCAGTGGAATTTATCAAGACTCAAGGGGATATAAGAACATAGGTCAATAATCTTTGGAAGAAAATAATAGCAATACAATTGGTCTCACCATGTCAATCCTTTCTGTCACAACCAATAACCCATTTTTACATGGTGATTGGCATTGAACACATATGATTCGTGTTACTCTATCCACTTAGGAAATTATACATTTCTTCTAAATTTTTTAACCTTTTTATTTATTCCATAGTGCTTATGATATAATGATCGGATAGCCCCTCACATCCCCTCCTTATAGGCAGAGCACCATTTATTGATTGCTGTGACATTAGAGTAAGAAAATGGAAGGACAGATTTTCACTAATTACCACCACCTGGCCTCCCTTTTTCATGCCTTGGGTTTGGTATTGGCTTTTCATAGTCCAACATAGCATGAGCTGCAATGAGCTCTCTCACCTCCATGTCACCAATGACCTTCAACACAAAAACATAACAAAAATTAGCAGAAACCCCACAAAAGCAGAAGGAAAAAGGAAGAAGCAAACGAAAAAAAAAAAAAAAAAAAAATTGTAAATTTACTACAAAGATATTATTTTTTTCATGCATGTAAAATTAATGTAACCGAGTTACCTCGCTTGGTGGATTTGCAGGATTTATAACATGTCTAAAGCCCTTCACTCTGCTGCCTGCAGAAAATAAAATGTATAACACTTGAGCTTTCTAAAATCAAATAGCAAAATTAATTAACTGATAACACATTGTTAGTATCATGTTCATGTTCATCACCTGAAGAAGAGTCGAGAAAGAGCAAGAGAAGGAGAAGACAGGTTTTGATATTGGTATCCATGGTGAATTGTAAAAATGGTGGTGTTTGTTCTCAGAAGGCAAGGCACGTTGAGATTTAAGGGGCAAGGGTTTTGTTGCTTTTATATGGTTTGGAAGGGGAAGGAACTAGGGCTACTATTTCATGGTGCAACTGCAACTTACTCAAAGCTTCGAATGGTGGTGAGTTTTTTTGTGTGTACGCAATTGCTACAAAGTCAAACCACACTAACATGACTAATCTCTGTCATTATAGCTTAAACTTTTAAGACACCAAAATAGATATGGACTTGCACCTAAAAAAAAGAAAAAAAAATAATATATATTTATGGATAGAAACAAAAGTGATGCTTGCATGGCTCAAACTCCATATTTTGTGTTGTGGGTTGTAGGATAAGTCACTTATCTCAAAACTGATTCAAAGTATCAAATTATAGTGGGTTTCTTCTTCTTTTTCTTTTTTTCTCTAAGTGTTCCTTTTACCAAGCTGCACTTGTCGGCTACACAATATTATGAGGGAAGAGGTACCACTTTGGTTGCAGAAACTTAATTTCTATTTTACCAATTATAATATTTGGGGGAGAAAGACTTGAACATATAAACGCTCCTGTGTAATGGGGATATATAGCTACAAAAACTAGGGCACTCTTTAGTCGAGGGAAGTCTTATGAGCAACAGTATTTCGATAGAAAGGACTTCTACTCGTAAGCACTTTTAGCAAAAGTGTTTTTATTAGAACGTTAATATTTTTATTAAAAATTGAAGTGTTTTCTAGAAAAGCACCTAGCAAAAGGCACTGGAAAACAATTCTATGAGCCATATAAGCAAGCATTTTAAAATTTGTTCTCTCAATAATGTTGCTAGAGCGCTTTTAATTGTCATAAAACGCTTTTAGTTAGCATTTCTAAAGGCAATCTCAAAATACAGTGACTAAAACGCTTTTAATCTTCAAACACATTTCATACTCATTCTCTACGTAGCCAACAAATGAAATCAATGTCAAAGCATTTGAAGCTAGGGTTAGATTAAGTGAACCTTATAAAGTAAATGTATATTGAATTGGTCGGTCTTTGGGTGGACCACATCATGCCAATGTAAATATTATGTGCATCTCCACAATCAGAAAACAGCTGAAACACTATGGGAGGCTTGGAAGCACACAATTGAAATGAGCCCTATCATCTGTTTGTGTACCCTCATTTGGCTTTTGTCCTTTTTTTCAACTTTTTGGGGGATGCATAAAATAAGTTCGTCTTCAATTATATGGCTAAATATAGTCCAAGGTTATAAATTTAGCCCTTCAAAATATTAATTTTTTAAAGAATAGTATATGGTTAAATTTTTCCATCTCCAGTCATGCATGGCTATATTTTAGGGCCTTTCATATTTTATTATTTTGAAAAAAACTATAGTACAACACTCATACATTCCACAACTATATATTATTTAATTTAACTAAACTACTATTTAGAAACAATATTCCATATATGACACATGTACGTTGATAAGCATTTAACAAGATTTCTAATAAAATTTTGTGTCCACATGGCACGTCTTATCTTGAAGGAATCTTAATAATTTTTCAGATATGATTTTCAAGTGATACATGTCGGTCTGGGAGCAACTATTCAGATTTCTGATTAGATTTTTGTCAACGTGGCACCTCTTATCTTCATCTTCAAATGTCAATAAATGGAGTGTTTTCGATTCAATATCTCACAACTTCATCTCCTTTCTTTGTAAATGGAAGGATTGATAATGCCTTCCATAGACTCTCTGTATTTTTGTGAGATGCATTCTCAAAGACCCATACTTTTTTGGTTAGTACCCACAACGCTATCTTCGGAGACTTTTATGAAAGCCTTGCAAATATGTTCATCTTCCATTCGTGACCATTTCGTCCCTTCAAAGTCCGAGACATTTTTCAAACAACGTGAATAACAAAAAAAAGTAAAGAAAATAAATTTACAGGGAATGTTTGGATGAAATGAGTGTGGAAAATTTTTGACAAAAAGAAAAAGTGGAAAGTTGTGAATAAGCAGAGAATGTGATAGAATTTGTAAGAAATGTGGAATGAAATGAGTGACAAATTTTTTGAGGTATTTATAGACATATTTTAAGTTGTTAATTTTTTTTAAAATAATAGTAAATAAAGCCAACAAAGGGAAAAAAAATTAAAAAAAAGAGATGTGTTTCAATGGTACTGACCTCCAACGGTCATAACCAAATTTTTAAACTAAATGAATTTAAAACATTTAAAAAGGTTTTAAATAAATTTTTTTAAAGTAACTTTTTAATCAATAGTTCTGACCTCCAACGGTCAAAAACCAATTATATATATATAATATAAAAATATTTTAAACAAAACGAATATGAAAATATTTTAATTTAAAAATTTAAATTAAAAAAAAACCCTAACGGCTAGCTTACATGATCAATGACGTCAACGCGCCCTTAATATTGGCTGTTGGATTTGCAGTTGCACGAGATGTATTGTGCTCTTACCCACGCATGATACTTTCTCTTTTTGGAAAGCACATGCGCTGAGCTTACAAAAAAATTTGGCTCAAGCCGAAGCTGTGCTACAAGTGGCCTAGTTGGAGAGTAAATGTGGCCCTCCAAATTTGGCCAAAATTTTTTTTAGCCTATGACTGAAGATGAGTTTTGCATTATTTTAGGACTATATTTGGCCTATGGCCATGACTAGAGATCACCTAAGGCCTTTCATTTGGTCAAACTATAGATAAGCCCTGCAGATCATAAGAAGATGTTACTGTTCATCTTGCATGCTTACTTTATCAAAGCAGCAACTTCTCTTCTGCATATTCTCAATCCAACTTTTTTTTCTTCTTCTTTTCTTGTGTGGTGATGGGCAGATTGCATTTTCTCAAGGCCACAAAAAGAAGAAAACCCTTTTAAACTTGACCACACAACTCTCATCTCTCAAATCAAACCCTGCTGTTCTCTACTGTCGGCAGTAGCAGCACAATATTTCCATTGAATTCCACGTGGTTTTGATGATGCATTTGATTGAAATGAAACGTTTCAAAGCTGACTTCCGTTTGAATTGATCCAATTAGGATGATGAAAATCACATCAACAAAAGTGGGCGAACCACAATGCATATTATGCATGCTTCTGTGTTTAACTTTTTCTCTGTATAATGGGATTTTTGAGGTCCATGGGGAGAGTAGGGGCTTCAAGATTTTCACCCTGCCCTACTTTTTTTTTCATCAAATGACCAACATTTGTCCTCACATCTAATGAGAAAGGACAGTGGGGGCCTGAAGAATATTAAAATCCATGGTGTTTTTAGTATGGGAATGGGAGGAGAGTGGGGCAGTCAATTTTGATGATGATCATGTCATCCTTCTCAGGTGCTGGGGCATGTATGTACCAGTCACCATCATCATGTTTTTCATGAATTCATGTTGCAATCCAAGAGTTGATGCTTTTTTAAAAAAAAATTGTTATGAGCTGTTTGGGATCAAGAATTTTTAAATTTATTTGAATTTATTTGGTACCCTTTGGACCATAAGGCTAAAATATATTAATACATTAGAAATCATTTGAAAATGGCAGGCATAAAATGTGAATAAATAAAGAGTTATAAGCTTTTGTGCTTACTGGGGAAACAGAAAAACTAGCAAACCATATGAAGCCTTAGCGTTGAAGCAAATACCATTCTAATCAGAGGACACAGGTTCCAGCAATTTGGCTCCAAAAACAGGAGTTGGATCATTATTAGCTTAATAATTTACCGGTGTGGCCCTAACATACACATGGCATCCGAGAATTACAAGTAACAAATATCAGTAATCATCAGCTTCAAGTAAAACCAAGAGGAGAAGATAATATGTTTTTTATTTTTAATTTTTGAATTACAACTACAGTTGAGGATAAGCCAACCATTCTAAAAATATGAGGAAGGCGATGATGTATTACAAATTTACAACACATTGTAATAACTCTCTGCAGAAGAAGATGCTTATGAGAATCGTCGACAGAAAAAACGAGGCATTACTTACGACTACACATCTCACAGCAGTAGTAGATCAGAGGCAATCATGTTATGTACGTATTCACATCAAATGGGCGACGGGGATGTAAGAATATAACCACCTGTTATGAACTCTGTGTAAGCAGGGAATGTTTGATTCCTAACAATATGTTGAACCCATTCCAAATTTTGCAACGTCCGAAATGGAAGTGGGAGACCGACGTGTATCAGGCATTGCATCAACCTCTAACTTGGCTCGAAAAGCATTGGCATCAGACATTTGCCTCACAAAACGATTGAAACGAATCCAGTTATGATATTCAAACATCTTCTTGTCCATCCTCACAAAGTTGAACGAAAAAGAGGGCTTCTCTAGACCATATGAGTAAAACTTTGACATCCTTACCACCTGTTGAAACGATTGATGGTCCAAACTGGTTGTAGAAGTTTCACCTTCTAGGGGTATATCACACACCCGAGCAGCTGAGAGCAGCTGTCTGAGAAGGCCTTCTGGGCTACCGACTGGATTCATCCGTTGTTCTTCCAGATCTTGCAATTCAAAACATGAGCAGCACAAAGTAAATCCATACTTAGCCAACATGCGAGCAATTGGTAAATATCCATCTCTTAGTCTAGTATTGTAATAGCCAGCTGTTATCTCTGACGGATGAGACTGAGTGCGATAATGCCAGTGGATCCCAGCTACTTTTACTGACGTACTAGCTTCTGTGCCCCGGAAAATGGTCTCAGCCTCCCTGCATATCCTTTCGCCATGCAGAAGCAGCATTCCTGAGTACCATTCAAGAAAAAAATTACCATATGGTGTAGTCCAGGATCCATGATGACTTTTGAAGAAATCTGTCTGTTCAAGATTCTGCATCAAATTGCCTGCACCAATAGGGCCCCCATTTCCCCATTCAGGCATCCCAATGGCTCTTGCACATGCATTGAGAGACGCAAGCATATACTGGCCAGGGAATTGAAGACAAAATGAAATCAATACAGGGACAACTAATATAATTATCAGGACAAAAGAGTAGCAAAGACTGTGCAGCCTCATTTGGGCAGAGGCAGAAATCCAACTATTAGCTAGTAAATTAGGTTTAAAATTTATTCATACCTTGTCATAGCACTGAAACTCTCCAAGCTCACGAGATCGCCAAGCCCATGTTAGTTTCTGGGTAGGACAAGAAGGGTATCTTAATTCACCAGCAGGACCCATCCCAACTTGAATGCGCTGCAAGGAGAGAGCAGTTATTTTTGTTATTTAGGATTATACCAATATGACCACAGCCTTAATGCGCTCAACTATCATTTCATATAACTTACTGTTATGACAACACCAAGAAAAGGCCTAAAAGTGTCTCTGAAGTTCCTCATAAAATCTGCATATGCTTGGAGAGGTGAACGTCCCAGCAAAACAGGAAGCATATCACACCCGAGTGAAACGTATTCCATATTTCTTCTTCCAAATCTGTCAGAATATGCTAAATCTGGATCTTTATCAATCTCGTCAAGTACCCACAGAGGAAGAGGAATCCTTCAATGCACGAAGGGAAAAGATTTAGCTGAGGTAGGTTTTAAACAAGCTAACAGATAACATTCATGAAAAACTTACAGCTAAAAAGTACTAATGAGAAAGGCTGACATGAAATCTTAAATCATTAATGCCACCACTATGAAATCACGGTTGGTCAGATCATCTAGAATCTCACAACTCAATCTCTAAAAAAATTCACTTTAGAAGTTATGAAGGAGATGTTAAGTCATCAGATAAAAAGCACATACTAGAACATATTTTGTAAATGTACAAAAGATATGCATTGGATACAGGACAATATTGACTAAAGTAGAACATGTAAAAAACAAATGAAGTCCTATAAAATGTCAGAATAAAATAAAGTTCCTCCATAGTTAGTGAGAACAGGAAAGGCACATCAGCCAACGGGTCTTAATTGCTGCCTTGGAAATATATCTATATGTCCCCAAGTAGTAATTACATTATCCATTATAAAGATACTCAAGGCATACCAGGGGAATTGCTTATGATATTTAGACTTAAATGGTAAATCCCAATATTCAAATCATTATTATAACCTTTTGTTACTTTCTACTTTAGATCATCTATTATATGGGAGGCACATTATATATAAAGATACCATAAACTTGCTTTAAATCAATGAACCCTTGTAGATTGGCAAATGATTCATTTTGTATCCAAATCTGAATGACACGAAAATAAAACTGTGCGACAGAATTTGAAGTTCTACTCCATTTACATTTTTCTAGTTTTTATTACCATGAACAACCAAATACCCTCAAGCCTCAACAACTTAGGTCAAAAAACACGGTCAAGGTAATGGAACTAATAAAAGAGTCCATGAAACCTATGGAGAACCAAAATGTCTGAGTAAACATGCTTCACTAGCTATTACAAGACTGGTAATCATAGATCCTATCTTTGGATTGCAGGTTCCTATCTATATGTACTTCGAGCCATTAAGAAACAATAGAGAATTCTTTAAACAAGAAACGCCAAAGTAAAACAAAAGAACCAGTTACAATATTTCTTAACGCAATCCAAATAAAGAAAACGCAAGACCTAAACTAATCCAAAAAAGAACATTCAAAAAAGACCATTGGTCAATTTATTAGAATCAAAGATTGAATTAAATAAATTAAAACCTAAAAGAATCAAAGAAAACTAACCAATGAGGGTCCTCCGGCCCAGTGCCACACTGATGAAACGCCAAGACGGCACGAACCTTCAATCCGCAGCGTCGAGCCAAAGCGACGATCTCCAAGTAGCCTTCCCAATTGTAAAGCATAGGCTGATCCCTCTCCACCAGGCCCCACCACACCTCCATGACCACGCCTTCGACTCCGGCCGCCGCGAGGGCCTTAAGCGACTGAACCATAGCCCTGGGCCTTCGCAGCAGACCCAGTGGGCCGACGGTGTCCAAAGGTAGCGTGACGAACACCGGGGATCCTTTCCGACAACGCTGGGGCGATAAGCCGTGAAAGAGCTCGTACTGAAGTTCACTGTCGTCCGGTTCACCGTTTTCCGGCTCACCGTTGTCCGGCGAGACTGAGCCTCCGGCATCGGAAGAAGTGGACTTGTTGAACCGAGCGCTGAGGGCGAGTCGGCGAGTGAGTGGGCGAGGCTTGGCTCGGTGAGTGAAAATGGACGGGATGCGAGTGAAGGTTGAGGGTGTCTCGGTGCGAGTACGGCAGAAGGAGGCGGAGAAGCTTGGAGCGGACGGAGATGCGATCGCCATTGAAGGAATCTTGGAGTTCTGGTTAGGGTTTGGGAAATGGTGGTTTGTGCTTGTTCTGCAGAAGAGAGCGAGGGAGAGAGAGTGACGGAAATGGGTTTACGGTGTGGGCGCGGGTGTATGTGCTCCACTGTCCACAACCACAGGGCGCGAGAGAGGAGACAGAGAGAGGCTCTCTTCTCTGCAATTATCGGATTTTTGGGAATGGGCTTTTACTATTAGGTCCTCTTGATTTTTATAACTATAAAATGGCCCAGGCTGGCTGCTGTGTCGTTTAATGCCGACTGAGCATGTTTCACATTCTACACGTCGACTGAGTATTTTTGACATTTTTAAGTCGCGTCATCAAATTTCTTTTTGTGATATTAACTGTTTAAAACCAATAAACAAATGTATCTAAAAATATCTCATTGAAATCGTGTGTGAAGTGAAGGGAGAAAATGAACGTTTTACCCAATTTGTTGTGTATCAATGCGTATGATATATGTTCGCAGATCTGAAAGTGTAGAATATACTTCTAATAACGTGTTTTTTTTTTTTCTAAAGAGAATCGAACCTAGTACCCGGAACCCGGACCTATTCCGCCATCTGGGCTAACCCAAGGGCTATACAAAGCATGTGTTTTCATTTCTACGTACTCTGACAAAAGCACCTTGCCAAACCAAGGGAGGCATGAGAATTGGGTGAGAAGACATTACTCATAAATATGCAAGGACAAATAAAAGGATTAATATCATAAGACGATTTAATAGATTTAATAAAATCTTATGTTTGACAAATCAAGGCAATAAAAAGGCCCGGACTTGACAACTTAATCTGGTGCAACCCAAATGACCAAGGGTAAAAAGAAACACAAAGAATGGGCTATAGGCTATATATATACATACAAAAAGCCCAACCAACCAACCACAAACAAAGGCAGCATAAGATTCTAAATAAGAATGCATGAGATTGGAACATTTGACTGACAAAATGAAAAATTCCTGTGAGTACAACAATGATATGAAATATGACTAAATAATATGCATGAATATTGCCCAAATATTATGCGGATGACGTCACCAATCCTACATAACGAGCAAGTATACAGGGATGACTGGCTACAAAAAAGGCAGAGACCAAACTCTATCACAATTTTGACATATGACGTAACAATGCAAATACTTTTTAGACACCAAATTCTGGTGAAGGAAAGAAAAAGAAGGCCAAAAGATATAGAGGGGGAGAGAGAATGCAGACTTTACAGAACTGCTGCTGAAGGGCCCCGACTCGGCGGCTCCTGAACCAAAAACCTCCACCACCATCAACTTCAGATAGATGAAACGGGTACTCGCGGGTGTATTTCTATATCTCATTCCTCCAACACCATTGGACCAGTTTCTCTTTTTTCTATTCATCTCTTTCTGCCAAGATAGCAGAGACACAGGGGTCATCACCACCAACTTCCTCCGATGCAATGCAAGCAATAAAATTAAAAAATAACAAGAAAAAACTGACTCCCCGATGCTGATTTGGTATACTGACTGCCATTGAAGCAAACATATCAGCCCAAAAATGGTGATGACCCGACTCATGATATGCAATCCCAGACCTGACCCCAACTCAAGACACCCAAATGCATGTAAGAACAAGAATATACTAAACAGCAGCAGCCTCAAAAATTAGTTGCCCGGCTGATAGCTATCTTGACCCATTCGGCAGCTTCCTTAATCGAAGGATCATCTGACGTGAGACATTCATTTAGAAAGTCTCTGGCTGACACAGATTGCTGAATTAATGAACCAACAGCACTACCCAGTGTATCAGCTAGATCTCCAAGGAGCCCAATGGCAGTTTTTATCACGAAATCATCCCTGAAAGAAGCAAATAAAAAAATCAGAAATACTAGAACTAGTAGGAACAAAAGCAGAAAGAAAACAACCATAAACTAGAGGTTCCAGAGGTCTTACATGTCCTTCTCTATGTATAAACTATCCAAGAACTGAAGAACATGAGGTGCATAAGGCATCAATAAATGGGTCTTTGCAGAGCCCTTAAATCCTTGCAAGATGCCAGAGTACGCCTCCATAATTCCATTTCTCAATGTATTTGTGTACTCTATCATATCATCATCAACTCCGGATGTATGGGCAGATAGCTCTGCCGCACTCTGAAGCATGGGCATGGCATACATCAAATACTTCTCAAAATTCTCCCCAATTGCCAAAGCTAGATCACCAAAGCATGAAAATATGGGAGGCTTCACAGAGCGGTGCAACTGGTTGCTCGACAAATCCTTGAGGAGCTGAGTCATTATCCCATCACAAAAAGGCAATATTTTATCCTCTAAAGCCCGGCATATATCCCCCACCACACCAACTGTGATGGCACAAACCTGGTAATCCTCAAAATTCTGGAGACCCATTTCCAAGTATTTATAAAACTCAGTCATGTACTTAGCAAAATCAGCGCCTGTCGAATAGACAAGAGCTCCAATTGCAAGCATAGCCTCCTCATGAGCTGTGGCACTTTTACAAGCAAATACTCTCAAGAACAGGCCCATCATCTGGTCAGCATATTGCAAGAAGACATATTTTGTTGGTTCAGATGACCCAAGCTTCTGTATAATGACCTGCAAGCAACCACAAAGAAGGCCTTGTAATTCATTCTGCTTCTCCCTCTCATCAGATGAAAGCTTTTGTGCCTCAAGAGTCTGGTGGAGTTCCATCATAATGAGAGGAACTAACTGCATCACCATTGGAGCAGTGTCATCAGTGGAACACCTTACAACTTCATTCAGAGCTTCGTAGGCTGCAGTTCGCAGGCGGGATTCTCCAGCATCTTCTCGGTGAGTGGCATCGAGAAGGGCCTGGATGATATCCTGGAAAAAAGGAGCCAGTGGGGAGGAAGAAGGTCCAGCATCTTCAAAACCCTGGGCCAGAAAATAGAGAGCACCACATGCCTTCTCAGCAACATTTGGGACATCTTTCATGCTCTGAAGAAGAACTGTGATGATCTGTTGACAATTTGCTTGGGTAATTATGGGTGTCTCCAAAGTTGAACCATGGAGAAATTCAAATATTCTTCCAAGAGTCCATCCGGTAGTGTCTTTCACATGGTTATTTGGATCTTTCATCAAAGCATTCAGCATAAAATTCAGAGCAACATTAACTAGAGGCATGAGCTTGTCAGGGGATGGGCCTTCCAAAATAGAACCAAACGCATAGGTGGCTGCCTCTCTCTGCCTCCAATCTGGTTTTGTAATGTTCTCCTCAATAAATGGCATTACAAGTGGAACAACATCATCGCCAACTGTCCGTGCTACCAAGCCCAAGCAAGTTCCACCTGCCATTGCAACATTCCAGGCCACTTCATCCTGATCCTGATCCTCTTCTTGCTTAAGAAGAGTCTCCAATAATAAGGGGATCAGAGCAGGAAGTGCTTGCTTAATAAAATAGTAGCACGGAATAACAGAATCCCCAGTAAAATCACTGCCATATTCTTCTAAAATGTCAATCTCTTCATCACAAATTGAACTCCAGAACTCGATAGCCTGTAGTGCAACAGGTTCCTCATCTTCCTTCACAGCCTTAGCAGTAATGCTAAAAATATCTTGGATGTACGGAGCCAACTTTTCATAATAGGTCGAAGATATAGAAACAAGGCACTCAAAGGCTGCCTGTCGAATCTTTACTTCCATATCATTTGAGAAATTTGCCTGAGCAAAACCCAAGGCATTATGCAAAGCTCTTGTGGCTGCAAGCCTGACATCATTATTAGTCTCAGAAGAGTTCATGCCCTGAACTACAGCAGTAAGCATTTTATTCACTTGGTCCTGCTCTACCACATCCGGGGAGACTTCCTCGCATATGTATCCAAGAGTTTCAAGAGTTGCTTGTCTAGTATGAGCTGGAAGTTGATTATTATTTGACAATAGAGCTTCGATCAGTTCAGGCCACTGTTTAAGAGGCAACTCAATCCCTGCTAGCTTTGCAACGACTTGAGATGCAGTTGATCGAGCATCATGGGCAGGAGAAGAAAGGGTCTTTAACAAACAAGCTTTGATCTGGGCCTTCACAGATGGGTCTAAGGACAACCATCTTTGTCCAAGCTCGAACTTCCTATGTTGTTCTTTGGCATCCAAAGCATTCTTAAGGATCAAACCTGCTAATTTACGACTCTCAACAGGCTTATCATCATTTGCCAATTCTCCAGCAAGAGAGAGCAAGAAACTTGGAAGATTTTGTTCTTGAAATTGTCTAAGGTTTTCTTCTGCATGCTTGCGTACATTCCCATCCACTGCTTGTGCATTTAAAAGAATTTGGGTAACTTCCATCGCCATTAGAAGCTGAAATCAATAAACCAATTAAAAAATTAATAGAAATAAAGCTCTACATATCTTGTCCAAAACAAATTGTAATCATGTATGCACTAACCAAGTAGCACTGAACAATATAGAATTCTATAAATAACGGAGTGAATGCATTTAGGGCTAAAGAAATAAACCTTGAAACCAACAAAAATCATCCATACAATTAGTAATTTCATTCATACAATTAAGACGGTACAATCACAAACAGCTATAACAATAACTCCGAGGAACAGAGCTTTAAGAGAGGGAGATAGAGGTGCAGAGATAGACAGAAAGAGACAGAGGGAGAGGGCATCAGGGTTGAGCATAAAGAAGATTAATGACCCAAAAATCCAAAAACAAATCACAAAGTATTGCAGCTTATTTATCAGAATTCATTGACAATTTATTGACGGGACAACAAATCATCGATACCCAATTAACTTATGTATTCATTAATCAGCTATATCTACAACTACAAGACTCCAATTAACATTGGAATCAATCCCATATTAAATCATAACTTGGAAAACCAACTGCTCATAATGATAAATAAAAAAGAGCACCCTTTACTAATCCTCACAAAACCCAAGTTTCCTTGACTGACAAAAACATAACTAATAAGTCATTAAGTACATAATTTATTATTGCAATTCAGTCTGAGATGCTTCCCAACTCAGTGGAAGTGAAACTAGCAACAGTAGTAGTTACCAGTCAAAATTATCACACACTGAGCGTACGGATTACCTATCTAATAATACCCAAAAACAATCGTATATTCAAAACAATCGACTCCTTCACTTTCCTAAACACAATTTGAAATTCAAATTGATCACGCATCAAACACTTACAGAATCAATCAATAACTCGCTGATCCCAAGATCAAAATTGAACAAACTAAGCAAAAAACAATAACAAATCGCGGATCAAGGATTTCAGATCAGACCGACAAAACTGCAATCGGAGTGCCAGCAAATGTTATATAAAACAGAGATTGAGATTTAAGAAAACTTACCGAGTTGATGAGTGGACTCGGCGAGACAGCGAGTGAATGATGAATCCGAGTCAAAAAAGAAAACGAAGACCAAGTAGAAGAAGAAGAAGAAGGAAAGAGAAGCGGCGACTCTGAAAACCCTAGCAGAGTGTGGGAAGCAGAAAAGCAAATATGCCCAATATTTTGTAAAGCTGGGATTTGCCAAAAAACAACGATATCTGATTTTTATAGTTCCTCAGGTTTCCCACGCGCGGTCCTCGGCGGGTTACAGCGTCAATTAAGTGGAAGTGGGTGATTGGGTGGATTTAGTGAGCCCCGGTGTTTTAGCGAGTTATCGTTTGGGAGGACGATGATTTGATTGGTCGTGTTTGATACGCGGTTCAAGGATGTGTGGGATTGGGCGTCCGTCTATTACTTAGCACCGTTATTATTGCAGTTGTTTATTCATTTTGTATGGGCTTTGATCCGCTGGAAGGCGCTAATTAGTGTTCCTTTTTTTGTTTTTCTTTTTACGCTTTTTGTTTTTTTTTTTCCCTCTTTAATATAAACAATATTCTTGCTTAATTTAATCTATCTATATATATATAAAAAACAAAAGACAGGCTTGCAAGGGTGCAACGGTAAGTTAGGAAGAGTTTTGTTTCTTCAATTTTTTTTTTCTTCTATTTAGTTGTTGCTTTACCGTTGTACCCTTGCGAGTCTATTGTTTGGTTCTCATGTTATATAAACAAGAAACACGGTAAGAAATTTGCCTACTTATGAGTTTATGCATGCTTATTTTTTTTTTTTTTTTTTTTTTGGGTCTGAACCACGAGGGGGTCCTGGATGGGCCCCAACTATGGATGGCACCTTTAAGCCTTAACCACAACCCAGACTAATCCCCGTTCACACCGGGTCGGCCCGTAAGGAGTAAAGTGCTGGCCAAAGTGGTGACTCCATACGAGAGCAGGGATCGAACCCCTGACCTCTCTTAAGGAATGAGAGTGCCGAACCACTCACACCAACCACCTTGGTTGAGTTTATGCATGCTTATTAACTTGGGAGTTTCACTAAAACACCCAAAATAGGGGTTGAAATTATAAAAAAACTAAACATATAAACACACCCAAAACCCATTATTACACACACTCAAAACTCATTTATAAACACACCCAAAAAGTTGAATTTGGGGTTGATGTTGGGTGTGTTTCTATATTTAAATAGTACTTGAGTTTTTTTATAAATACATGTCTAGGATTGGGTTTATTTATAAATTTGTATATTAACTTCACTGGTATAATGTGTTTATTTGCTTATTTGAACTCCCGGCTATTATTTTGTCTACATATAAGTAGAAACTATGGATCTAGGAGTTTATGCTTTGTAAAAGTGTTGGTTTTGCTTCACTTACAGAGTGAGAAATTATGGGTTGGGATGCTTTTACCCTTCCTTCCTACAAAAGCAAGAAATTAAATAAAGATAATCAATTTTGGCTAAGAAGCAGGGGATCATACTTCTCTTTCTCTTTCTTTTGGTAAACCTATTGTTTGCTCTTTAAAGGTAATCAATTCTATAATTTATCCCGCTATACTATTTACTAAAAAATTAAATAAATAAAAAAGGTCCCATGTATAACCGCGCGGCTATACCTTTGGAATATAATATGTTTAAAGAGTATAACCGATCGGCTATACTCTTTTAATGTATTATATTTAAAAGGCGTATAGCCGCACGGCTAAACTATTTATTAATAAAAATTAAAAAAAAAAACCCTTCTAGTTGCATTAATTTATAGTTTATTGTTATTAATTTTTAGTCAACAATATATGAAAAATTGGTGTATAATACGTGAATTTTGTGTGTACTATTGAAAATTTGGTAAAAAACAAGTATATTAAACATGAAAAATACATATGTACGTGTACAATACGAGTACAATAGAGACTTGGATAATAGCCTAATAGTAATGGATAATACTATTTTATTTATAATAAAAAGGGGTAGTATAGCCGAGTGGCTATATGGCTTCTTAGCTATCCTATTTATTATTAAAAAATTTAAAAGAAAAAGACCCTTCTTATTGCATTAGTTTATACTTTATAGATATTAATTTTCAATCAATAATATGCTAAAATTTGGTATATAATATGTGAATACTGTTGTGTGTATTCTTGAAAATTTGGTTAAAAACAAGTGTATTAAACAAGAAAAATACGTACGAACATGTACAACATGTGTATTACTTGTTGTAAGAATAAGGGAGAACACATCTGCTTTAGCTAACTTAGCGAAGTTGGTTTGTTTCCTTTCACTTTTGTTTGATAATTGCGATGTTAGTAACTGGAAGGGAACCGCATCAAAGTTTAAAAGAAAAGGATGAAAGAGACCTTTGTAAAAGGTAAAGCAGTGCTATTGGTTTTTGCTCCTATTTTTCAATTCCAACTAGGTACAAGGTTCGAAGATTGAACCACCATAGACAGTGTCAAACAACGTAACATGTACCATGATACAAGTACGTCCAGTTCATTCCTTAGCCATTTCACTCTTAATCCATTCGCGCTTGGCTTCAGGATCTTTCAATTTACAAAACATCTCTCTCTTCTTTTTACTTGAAAACAACCCCTTTGCAAACCACCACATCTTGTCCTTTGCCCTCTTCTCCTCCTCAAATGGCATCTTGTCCTCATCATCTGTCATCTCTTCCTCATCATCAAAATCAAAAATTACTTGTCCAAGTTCGGCCCTCTCAAGAAATGATGTTTCAGGAACCAAACTTGGAAGTACTGCAACAAATCCTCCATTATTCTCATCTTTCTTACCTTGTCTTCTCCTTTTCTTCATCCCGGATGGACTTTACGTACATTGAGTAGCAACTACAGCTGATGAGAAAATTCAACAGAAGGGTCAGTTTAGTAACTTGCTATATCATTCATCCATTTATCACAACGATGGAAAGAAAAACATATAGAAAGATCACATCTTGACTTCAACAACAGTGAAAAACCTTCATGGGCACCAAAATATGACTCCATTCACAAATACACAAATTCACGCAGAAGTAGGGTAACCGAGAGAAGAATTACTTGTAGACATTTTGAAGTCTCTTTTTCAAGTGTTTGATAGAAGCACCGGAAACCTCATCTACCCTTTCCCCTTTTAGATAGCAATGGAACATTGGCTGCAGCAAAATGCACACATCAGCAGAGTAATATTCCATTTTAAGATAAAATCAGGGCAGCTTGAACAAAACGCTTAGCCCCCATTTTCCCAGAGAAGCCGCCTGTTCATGCTTTTCTGAATTATTAACTAGGATATGGTAAGAACTAGAAGCCAAATTTTGAAAGAAAAGGTCAAAACACATGAGAAAATAGAAGGATCGAATCATTTACCGTCTTGTAAATTCCCAACTTGTCCAAGCTGGATCCAGCGATATTCTATAGATAGAATAAACCTCAGATCTACTAGTTTAGAGGCATAGCAAGAAATAATATGATGATTCTTCTATACGCGGCTGCTGCATGGCGCATCATAATTACTGCATGAGCAAGCATTAATGCATAGCTAATTAAAAAATACATGAATTTTATCAGGTGCACGATTAAGTTATCTTTCACTCAGAACAAAAAGCATGGGAAAACGAACCGAACATCGTTAGGTCCCGAATTCCCTGAGAACAAATAAATGCATGACATGATCAAGCGATTAATGCATAGCAAATGAAAAAGACATTTGTTTTATCATGTACCCGATTAAGTTATCTTTCACTCAGAACAAAAAGCTCAGATAAGAAGACAAGCATAGGATAAATCCCTCTGTGTCTTGTTGCAGTATACATTTTTATTTCATTTCAACTGTTCAGGGAAACTCGAAGAAGAAAATTTAATTTCTTCTCAGTATCATGGAATGCAAGGTAAAGTACAGTATAGACTAAATTACATTTGGAATGTAAAAGGTCTAAAATTGTTAGCACTTTAGATTTGTCAGGATTTGTGGGACTACATTTGTATTGTTGCATACGGGGACTTCTTGTCTATGGTGATGTATGCTAAAATATGAAAACTATAAGAGAATATTTGTTTGTGGGAATTTTCTATGTATTCTTCTCCTTGTAGGAGGTCATATTTATAATACAACAAAACCTGAATGGGCAAGTAAATAATAAATTCCTAAATCTATTTACAGTAGGAAATCAGGAATTAAAGTAAATCAATTACAAATAAAATAGGAATCCTTGGTGTGTAAGGAAAGTAAGTCAATATCCACAAGTCACGCCAACACTCCCCCTCACGTTGGTGCATAGATGTCGCCAATGCCCAACTGATCCAGTGAATTGTGGAATGCTTTACTGGAAATCGCCTTTGTCAAAATATCCGCCAATTGATCCTCGGATTTCACAAAAGGAAACTGAAACACTTTAGCCTCAAGCTTCTGTTTGATGAAGTGTCGATCCACCTCAACATGTTTAGTACGATCATGCTGAACTGGATTCTGTGCAATGGCTATAGCAGCCTTGTTGTCACAAAAGAGATTCATTGTAGATGTAGGTTTATACCCAAGTTCAGTAAGCAACTTTCTTAACCAAAGAAGTTCACACAATATCCACAAGTCACGCCAACAATGTATTCATAATATCAGTTTGATTAAAGTAACTTCCTCTACATCGTATCAATCAAAGAAAACATTTTTTTTTTCCAAAGACAATGAACTAGTTCACAAAACACAATTTTGATTACTTCTCAGTATCATGGACTGTCAAATACATTCACCAACAATATTTCTACTGTTATTACAAAAGAAAAGGCAACATCTTCCCCTGAATTCCAACCAATTAAAGACTTTGGTAGACTTCGGATCAATTAACCTAATACTCGGTTCGGATTGGCCGGTACGTCGGTAGTACTGTAATAAAAACATACTAATAAAAATACAATTTATAATACATAAGTTCTTGAACAAACACACCAAATTATCCTTGTAAAATATAAAAATCCAATAGTCTAATTCATCTAAGTATGAAATCAAATAATTTAGTAACTATATCATTCGATATGTACTCAAGATGTATTAAAAGCCACTTGTGTTTATTGTTTGAACCTTTGAGTGTTCTTTTTATTGAAATCTCTACATTTATGTAAATGATTTTGACACTTGTTCCGCGCTGGGTTCTTTAGTTTTTCATGCTAAATCCAACCATACAAAGAACATAAAATTTGAATCAATAGTTGGAAAGTTATAGGTGAAAAAGGGACAAATGTCGAAACTGAAAAATATAGGAAGTTCATAAATTCCTCTCTTACCAAAAAGTGCTACAATACTCGGGTAAGTGATACAATAGTGATAAAGAAGTGATATAGTGGTGATAAAGCGGTGATAAAATAATGATAAAGCAGTGATACAATGGTGAGAAAGAAGTGATACAGTAATGATAAAGTAGTGATACAAAATATTTTTCGTATTTATTTTTGGTTTCTTGTTTTGTTTTTAAATAATAAAGTAAGTATAAATATCGGATCGGTACGGGTTTACATTGGGTTAGGAATTTTGTTTCCGTTAACCAAATCAAATATTTCGGTACGGATCGGATCGAAATAATTAAAATTAAAAAATAATTATTTAACTAAACCAAACTAAACCATAATTCGGATGAGATGCCCACCCTAATTTGAGGGACCTGAAAGTAAATGTTTTGAATCTGAATCTGACTCTGAGAGTGAGGATGAGTAGAGATATCGTCTCTGTTGCAGAAATTGAAGGTTTGGGGTGTGAATGGAATAATTGGAGAAGGGTTCGGAAGCGGAACGGATATCGATTGTGTGTGGTGAAGATGGTGTGGTATTTGGCACTGAAGTTAGGTTTTGGATGGGTTTTTGGTGAAGATGATGAAGAAGACCTGCTGCACACGGGCTGTTGCGATTTCCAAGCAACTGCCGTATCAAAACCCCTGAATTCCTCGCCATTTTCGTCTCTCTCGCTTCGCTTCTCTTCTTTTCGGCACTCTCTCCCGCTTGGCTTCTTTTCGGTTGTTTTATGTTCTATGCGCGACTGAGACATGGGCTAATCTTAGGCCATTTAAAAGGCGGTGCTTAAATAAGGCCGCCCAAAATAACGAGCCCGTCTCTCGCGAAAACAAAACACGCACGTCTTCGTTTTCACGCTCTGGAGCTCTCGTCTTCTTCTCCAGTTTCACGAGCGAGGGTCTTCATCTACCTCTCTAGTTTGCCTCAATCTCTCCTCTTCTCTCGTTTCTCCTCTCTCCTCTACTTTTTCCACTGATTTTAGTTTTGATTTTGTGCAGATTTAACGATTGGGGTTACTTCTTACTCTCTGCAAACTTTAAGGCTTTCATTGATTTACTGTTTAGGTAACCTCTGCTAGCTTTATAGTTCATCCTTTATTGCTTCTTTGATCTTGGTTTTTTTTTTCGTTGGATTTAATTTTAATTTTTTCAGTGATTTCTAATCGCAATTGGGGAAGTAGAAGAAAAATATTTATGTGTTATATTCATATTTGTATTGGTCGTATTGTTGATTAGTTGGGATTGGAATTGTGGTCTAATTGCATTTTGCAGCTTACAATATGTGATTTTGGGTGTGTTTCTATGTTTAAATAGACCTGGGTTTTTTTATAAATACATGTCTAGAATTGAGTTTATTTATAAATTTGTATTGGATTCCAGTTTGTAGGTGGTGAAAAATAGGCTGGATTTTTATGTTCTGTGGGAGTTGGTTTTCTGTTTCAATATCACAAAGAAGGTGGGGAAGTTTTAAAATTAGGATAAATGTTGTTTTCAATCACTTTGGAGCTGAATCTTGTTTCTTGAGAAATTAAGCTTTTCTAAGACCCAGTTTTGTGTTTTGAAGCATGCTCATTTCAGTGTTCGATTCTGTGCTGATACTTCTTCTTGGCATTATGCTCATGGCTATGGAATTTTTTATTATTTTATAAAATGGGGGGGAAAACCCAAGAACAATACCTAACCACCACACATCGAGGTCTAGCAAGACCTAACAAATCATCCACCAAGAATGAACTAACCCAGGCAGGGGCCTCCTCAAAATAGCAAACCCCTAGGTCTAAGTTGTAACTCCAGTTATGGCCATATAGTCCGCAACACAATTTTTCTCTCTGTAGATATGAGCAAGCTGACATGTGCCAATCTGCCTCATGTGACTACAGCAACTATGCACCAAGGCAGCAAGTGGATGACATTGCAAGAAATATACTTGCTGGATGAGAGAAATAGCAACAGCAGCATCCATCTCTATAGCAAGGTTGGAAATACCTTTCTCAACAGCAAGCTGTAGCCCAAAATACAGCCCCCATATCTCAGCCTCCAAAATTTGCTCCTTACCCAAATTCACAGAAAAACCAGCAATCCAGTCACCTTAGGAATCACGGAGGACACCTCCTGCTCCAATAAGACTAGTGGCAGTCCTTCTAGAACCATCCACATTGAGTTTAAATTAGCCAACTGTAGGAGGATCCCAGGCAAGAAATATATGCATTCTATCAAGCTTTTGGCCAGGGATAGAAATAGAATTAACCCACTCAACAACAGCAGAATAAATAACCTCTCTGGAATTAAAAGGCAAACCCTCCTCTTCACTAAAAACTTGCTTATTTTGCCATTTCCACAGGTACCAACAAGTGAAGGCAAAAAGGATACCCCAACGAATACCATCAGGGCCTTTAACCTTTGGAAAGCAAATTACTTAAGAGCCAAGGCTTAGGCTCAGAGAGGAAGAAGTGTGCAGGTGAGTGAAGACTCAAAACAGTATCCCATACCTCCAGGCCGACATGAAATTTGACAAGAAGAATCCACATCTAGATTCCCCTTAACTCTTTGCTCATTAGGTAGTATTTTCCCCTGATAAGCAAGCTAGAAAAAGAAGTGCAGTTTAGGAGGAATCTTCAATTTCCATAAAACTTTCTAGAAAGGATCATCATCCCCAAAAGCGTGAATGTAACTATGCCTCACGGTGCAATGAGGAGGCGTCTTGGAGTCATGGTTTCAATTTCACATTATGATTAGTAGAATATGCAAATTATAGTTGGTCTACGTCCTATTAGCTTTAGACTTTAGGAAGAGTAGTTAACCAATGTAACTTATTATTTTATTAGAGCTGAAGATGCTGAATTCAGATCCATGTATCTAGAAGCTTTCAATGTATGTTGAATGAATTCTACGTGTTTGGTTCTCTAGCGGCGGAAAGGCTGACATGTTAGGGGACTGTTAGAATGTAAAAAACAACAGATGTACCACATCTGAATGGCATCTTTGCAAGAAGAATTAGACCTCTTTTCAACTTTGGAAAGTGAAGATCTTGGTAGAATCTGTTGCCATGCTATTCTTGTGCCTACAAGGTTAACTTGTTGGGAGTTCACAACTTTTTCTGGTTCAATTATGGCGTGATTGAAATGAGTAGGGGCTTTACATTGATGAAGCTGATAATTGACAGAATAACCCCTCTTTCTCAATGAAGTAGGGGAGGTCAAGGGAAGATAAGCAAGTTACAACATTCATTTATGGGTCTGAAAACTAGGTAGTTGGGGTAAACTTTCATGAACTGTGCAAATGCCATGAAGAAAAAATGCTTGTGACTGTTATTTGGAATCCTGTGATAATAATAAAAAGAATAAGTTTTGGAATTTTTTGGTGAAATTTGCTAGACATACCACAATCTTATGCCATATTTTAAAACCACCTTATGTGGCAGCTGACTTGGACATGCCACGGTAGTTAAGTACTTAATGAGTTAGCTAGGTATTAATTTTATTCCTTCTTAATTAAAAAGACCAATTCAAATTTTCAGGCCTACTTCAAGTGTCTTCCTATCCATCCCCTCTCTCACTCCCCCAACTGGTTGGACTTCCATCAACGGTATCAGTTACCGGTGAAAACAAATATAAAAAGTGGTAAAGAACAAGAGGATTCTACCTCTGGATTCTGTGTCTGATCCATATACCCATTGTTTCAGTGCTGTACATCTGAAGATCTGATTTTGCAGATCATATCTCATTTTCACTGATGAATTTCCATATTGGAACTCATGCTTTCTTGATGGCAAGTACGGTTGCTTCTGGAAGTTCATGACTAGTTTCTTCACACCAGTAGAATTAGATCTATTCACGTGTGTTTATTAGACATCTGATCTCTTTCTTTTTGCAGATCCAAGTCTCAACCTTTTCTCACATTAGATCTCTTTTAATTTCATCCGTCTTTTCTTATACCATGAAATTAGTTCTCACTCAGCCGTCTCATGCTCGTTTGGTGCCTATGATTGGATTGGATTAGGTTGCTCACTAGATTTAAGGTATGTTGAAGGAGGAAATGAAGGTAGAGGTGAATGATTTTTTATTTTGTGTGCATTAGAAGGGATGAGTTATGACATGTTAATGTCCTACCATTTTGTGGGGATTCGATGGGATAAGTTTCCTTCATGAGTGATCCATTTTCTACCTTCAACTTGGACAAAATTTATTCATTTCTTCATTCAACGTGCCTTAAATCTGGTGAGTTATCTAATCCAATCCAATCCTATCCTAGGCACCAAATGAGCCCTGAATTGATGTGGCATGCATAACTTAGCTGCCACATAAGGTGGTTATGGTATAAAATTGCGGTGTGTCAAGCATTATTGCAATATAGTTGATGCAGTAACCATTACATACTAAATAAGTTCTGCAATTAGAAAGTTATCTATCATGT